ATATATATATATATATATATATACACCATGAAAGGAGTTAAACAGGTTTTGCCCTGTTTTTCTAGATGATGTTTACTGATGCTAATGGCTAGTGCTTTTCCCTTGAGCTTCATGACTGTTTTCCCTTGTGGGGAAATTAGCACTGTGAGAGCTGTTAATTGCATGCATGTGTAATTAAGAGAGGTGGAACGAGACATGAAATAGCATATGCTGTGCTCTTATCTATAAAAACACACAAATGAATGGTTTTCGGCCACGTAACTGCCATATCTTTGTAGCCAAAACTTTGAAAGATTTTATGTTACCTAAAAAAAAACAAACTCTTGAGGCAGAAATAGATTCCCATATCATTCAGCAGAGTAAAAAATAAAGGTAAATGTAAGATAAAAAAAATATCCATAGAAAGTTGTCCTTAGACCCGACATGGCACATTTTACTAACGTACTGCGGATGAGTAAATCTTCCAGATGCACACATCGAATAAACCTGTCAGCAACACATGATCACGGAATGTTCTCTGAAAATGGTTTGAAATGGACAGTACTTACGTGTTTTTTTGGTGGTAACATTGACAGGTACAGACTGGGGGCCAGTTCCTGCAGTATTGAAGGCACACACCGCTAGATAATACTGAGTGTTCCCCTGCAGGCCACTGACATTGACTGCTGTGTAGTTTCCAGTGATCCGCACTTTACCCACCGTATCCGGCTTGGTGTCATCTTCCCAGTACACCACCTGTTCGCCAGGACACAAAACAAGGGCATTTTATATATCCTTGACTTTAGTTGTAAACAGCTCTCTGCCGGAACAATTACAATCACTCTTGCAACCCAGTGTGACCCTAAATATGCAGATTTTTCTCAAAATAAGTGCTACTATGAAAATAAAAATGTCTTGGCACGTTCATTTAACTTAAATGGTTTGTAATGGAAATATGTTAATTAGGTTTACAGTGTTAAATCTCAGGAAAATATACAAAGTAAATGCCAAGAATTTTTATCTGCGGCCAAAGAAGGTGAGATATGATTTGCATGGAATTTATTACATGTTGATTACTTTCAACATGACTTGATTTCACAACGATCAATAACAAAGTGATCAGTTCAGATATTTGATACACGTGTTTGACTTTTTATTATTCACTTCATTTAGCTGATCATTTGAGTCTTTTCTGCAAATTACAAGCTTGAGAACATATCTCTGGCTGCTGGAAATATGATATTCTTTTGAAACGGTATGTAGATTCTCTTGAGGATATGAAATTTCAATTAACATTTAGCTGTGTGCTAGGTGAGAAACAATTAGGCAGCGGAAATGAAATAATTAATTATTAACCCCAGGTCATATGTAATATCAATATTGAGGCATTAAGTATAAGAAGATTTAAGCCAATTTCAAAATTAGACATTAATGAGATCTGCCCAAGGGAGGCATATTTCTGAATTATTTCTTTTCTACCTTTTGCTCTCAGTTTTTGCAGGATGTAGTACATTGCATCATTCAGACTTGAATTGAGAATTCAGTTATTCAGTTCTTCAATATAAATTGAGGTAGCAAACAGGATGCAGAATTTTAATTCAAAAGAGAATGCAAGGAAGTAGAACTAAAATGAACAAATTCAAAGGAAGTCATATGTATTTTGTCTTTTGGGTACATTTAGCTGATATTGAGACTTTTTTTTGTTTACACAGCCATTTAAAAGTTTGGGGTTGGTAAGATTATTACTTCTTTTTTTTTTTTGAAGGAAAAAATCCTACCTTTTGAAAGAAATCTTCTACACTTACCAAGGTTGCATGTACTTGATCAAAAACAGAGTAAAAACATTAATATTGTGAAATACTATATTACAATTTTAAATAACGGTTTATTTTTAAAAAATGTTTTAAATGTAATTTATTTCTGTGATTGAAAAACTTAATTTTTTTATCAGTCATTACTCTAGTATTCAGTGTCACATGATTCTTCAGAAATCTTTCTAATATGCAGATTTTCGTGGATTTTTTTTATTAATATTAACGTTGAAAACAGTTGTGCTGCTTAATATTTTTGTGTAAAACTTGAACCATTTTATTCAGAATTCTTTGATGAATAAAAAGTTCAAAAGAACAGCATTTATTTGAAATAGAAATTCTGTAATAATGTAAAAGCCTTTACTGACTTGGAAACTGTGATTCATTCTAATTAGATAGAAATGGTTTCCACAGTTTGATGTTTTGTGAGATTGTGTGTGTTTTTATTGACTATTCCTGGTTTTAATTTAGCATCTAAGTTTAGTGAGAGTTGTTCAGCCCTTTGGGTCAATTTCTGCTGCTTTTAAATGCTTTATAAATAAACATGACTTGACTTCACTAGACTACTACAAAAATAGATGGTTGAAAACGCCTTCAGTTGGAAAAAACACCTTCAAGTCATGTCACAGCAGGTTCACAGATGAATAAAAAGTTCAAAAGAACAGCATTTATTTGAAATAGAAATTCTGTAATAATGTAAAAGCCTTTAATGCATCCGTGCTGAATAAACGTGTTAATTGCTTAAATAAATAAATAAATAAAACCTTATTGACCCCAAACCTTTGAACAGTAGTATTTAATTTGAACAGTACATTTCATCATATTTAACAAACTTTTGTGGATCAGGGAAGAAGAACACTTAATTTCCCTGAATTAATTACCTGTGTTGAATTACTCTAAATTGCAATTCAAAGTATGCAATGTAAACCCACCTGTTATTCCGAATTGAATTCCAATTCAGCTTCCTGTAGGTTTGACCAATTTTAAATGCTTTATAAATAAACATGACTTGACTTCACTAGACTACTACAAAAATAGATGGTTGAAAACGCCTTCAGTTGGAAAAAACACCTTCAAGTCATGTCACAGCAGGTTCACAGCATGTGTGTAGACTTAGTGATTTGTCCAAAAGTTATAGGTTTTCAATCTTTCACAGACATAACTCAAAAAACAAAGCGTGAATGTACAATTCTGCTAGTTTATGTACTACTAGGTGCCTCAAGCAAAAAAGCTTTTTGAAAACTTTGAAAGATTTGATGTTACCTAAAAAAAAAAAAACTCTTGAGGCAGAAATAGATTCCCATATCATTCAGCAGAGTAAAAAATAAAGGTAAATGTAAGATAAAAAAAAGATCCACAGAAAGTTGTTCTTAGACACGACATGGCACATTTTACTAACGTACTGCGGATGAGTAAATCTTCCAGATGCACACATCGAATAAACCTGTCAGCAACACATGATCACGGAATGTTCTCTGAAAATGGTTTGAAATGAACAGTACTTACGTGTTTTTTTGGTGGTAACATTGACAGGTACAGACTGGGGGCCAGTTCCTGCAGTATTGAAGGCACACACCGCTAGATAATACTGAGTGTTCCCTTGCAGGCCGCTGACATTCACTGCTGTGTAGTTTCCAGTGATCCGCACTTTACCCACCGTATCCGGCTTGGTGTCATCTTCCCAGTACACCACCTGTTCGCCAGGACACAAAACAAGGGCATTTTATATATCCTTGACTTTAGTTGTAAACAGCTCTCTGCCGGAACAATTATGCAATGTAAACCCACCTGTTATTCCGAATTGAATTCCAATTCAGCTTCCTGTAGGTTTGACCAATGCAATGCAAATTCCAAGTCATGAATTGAAAAGAAGTCAGATGTTCTTGCTTCCACTGAACCACAAGATGTCCAAATTATTACACAGATAACACAATTGATATTTAAAAAGTAGCATTAAATTAGAAAAATGCAAAGTAGATGCATCTGCATTAACAGTCTCAGACTGTTGGACCTTACCGTTTGGTTTTGTGCAAAAGGAAATGCAGTTATAGTTTAAAAAGGAACTTTCCATTTCAAATGCTGCAGGTGCTTCAAAGGGCCATGAGCACAAATAAATGGTATATACGCATACAGCGCCGTTTCCTTGATCAATGCTGCTTTGATTTGGTCTTTCAGTCCTCGCTAACCAAAGACGAGACAAAAATAAAACCAAAAAGTTTTCCCCTCATCTAGAATCCAGCGACATGATAGTTCTATTCTTTCCAGACAATATGGCTGCTACCATGGCAACGTGGCGGTTTTCTGCCGCAGGGCAGGGGTGACAGAGATGGAGAGAGTGGCTTGTGAGAAAGCGAGACTCTCTTTGCATTCTTGAAAGGCCAGTGAAGAGCTTTCATCCAGCTTCTAAGAGCCACAGACATTTAACAAAGCAGCGGCGTTGTCTAAACACTGGCATTCTCCATATTTGAGGTAACATGGGAGAGGTGAGAAGCACTTTTAATAATCGCTTGTGATCCCGATCGCATTATTAAGGGGAAAACATGACATTTAATGTGGCGAAGGGGAAGACAATGCGAATCAAACCTCATATCCGAGAACTCTTTCAGGGGTCGACGCAATCGGCTCCCAGGTAACTTCGATGTCGGCCGCCGACAGACTTTTTGCTGACACTCTCTCTGGCGCTACGCTCGGCACTGTGGAGAAACGGAGAGATGTTGAGGCTCTTATTCAAAAAGCTTTACACAGCCATCGAAGTAAAATTGGATTAAGTCAGAGAATGAAGCCCCGGTCTCACCTGAGAGAGGCCCTACGTCATTTTAATGGGAACTATGACTGACAGAGAAGGAGACAATCTGCTGGGAAAATTCAATTAACACTCTAGCACATGAATAGGCCTGTAAGTGTCTAGCAGGATTTGTTGTAACCTATAGCCGCAATAACTAATATAAGGTTGTCATTCGCAGCTTGAACGAGGGAGGAGGGGCGTAAGCTGTCTCAATCAACTTATTCCATCATTCTCATTCAAGGTCACACCTGTATGTGCGAAGGGAGGGAACCGAGACCGTGTTTGAGAACGTGAAGGGACTACTGCTGAGTCTGACTGTGTTTGTGTTTGTGTGTTCCTAATGGTTTAGCTCCACGGGCCCACACAATGTATCGCTGACTGGCCTATATTAGTATTTCCGGATGATTAGGCCAAAATTGAAAGCAGATAACATCAGGGCTCAGACTATTAGGCTTGTATGTAGGATTAGTGATATGAACTAATTGCACTATTTTGCTTATTTTCTAAAGCAAATATGTGTTATTTTTGTTATTGCTGAAATTTTCAGTCTAGTGGATGATAACAAGAAAAAAAAACGGACACAGATTTGCATACAGTACCATTCAAACATTAAAAAAAAAAAATTAATTAATACTTTTAATTAGCATACATTAAATTGATCAAAAGTGGCAGTAAATAATGTTTAAAAAATCAATTTCAAATAAAGGCTTTTCTTTGAAATTTTCTATTCATTATGGTTTACACAAAAATAAGTAGCACAATGTATCAACACTGATAATAATAACTCAGCATATTAGAATGATTTCTTAAGTATCTGCACACTGGAGTAATGATGCTGAAAATTCAGCTTTGTCATCACATGAATAAATTACAACGTAAAATATATTAAATTGCAATATTATATAACAATCTATGCAAATAAATGCAGCATTAGTAAGCATGAGAGACTTTTAAAAAAACATAAAAAATTAACTTTTGAATGGTAGTGTATATGATCTATATCTAGAGACCAGAATATCATATAATATCATATCATAGCCATATCAGTTACAACATTGTAGGAAAGCAGCATTTTTTTTTATTCAAACATTGTACCTAATAAAAAAGTGTATTCATCACTGTAATGTACAAAATGTACAAAAAAATGCTTTTTGTAAATATTTCAATGACTGATCTGAAGTACGTTCTATAATTGGAACATGCTGTCTGTAAAAGAGGCATGCAAAATAATAATTATACTATTTTAATTATTTTATATATTAAAATAATAATATTATTGGCCATCACATTATTATATAAAATGACCCTCTAACACTAGTGTTTTCTATTTTTTTTCTAATCTATCTACTTTTTTTTTTTTTTTCATTAAAGAAAAAAAAACAAAAAAACCTTGCTATAGACTAACCGAGACTTGTCATAGCACTTATTTTTTTTGTTGGTTTTGAATGCTCCTGTTGTCTTCATTGGTAAGTCGCTTTGGATAAAAGCGTCTGCTAAATGACTAAATGTAAATGTAAATGTATAGGCCTATTACTCGTAAACTAAGTAATTAGCAGTTGTTTTTATCAACCTAACCTTCAATATCACTACAAATCTCTATAAATCTGATTAAGAAAAATGTTATTCTGTGTAAATGAGTTTGTGATTGTGAGTGTTGATGTACACAAATCCACTCTACCTTCCTCTGCAGAGAACACTGTTGCAATACTGCTGAAAGGTCCTTCTCCACGGTTGTTGAACGCTCCCACTTTGATGTTGAATGGTGAGAACGGTGGGATGGTGTCATTTCGGAAAATGTAGCGGGTGACGCTGGGTGCCGAGATCACGGCTCGGGTCCAAGTGACCATTCCCACTGGCCGGAAAGCGATGATATAACCGAAGCCCTCTCCGTTCTGCAACTCCTCTGGAACAGGCTTAGAGTGGAACACAAAACTATAGTGATATTAAAACAAATTGAGGTCAACACATCAACTGACCCACATGACAACAGGGCTTTATTAGCACTTAGTTTAAAGTGCACTTTCTTTCTCAAGTCACTTTAATTATTATGCATGCTGTATTCATGACTTCATATTAGTAGAGAGACTAGATGGAACATTTGAAGGACTTAAGTCACCTGAAAAAATATGGTGGAAAAAATAAACACACTTTTCCTCTCAAACATACAAGACCACCAAGGTTGGGGTCTGTAAGATTTTTTTTATATTTTTGATAGAAGTCATTTATGCTCACCAAGGCTGCATTTATTTGATCAAAATACAATAAAAACAGTAATATTGTAAAATATAATTACAATTGTTTTCTATTTTAATATATTTTTAAATGATTACATGATTCTTCATGCATTTTAAATAAATAATAACAGCTGATCTGGTGCTCAAGAAACATTTCTTATTATCAGTGCTGAAACCAGATAAAATACGTTATATTTTTGTAAGAAATATGTTTTTTTAGTATTATTTGATGAAATAGAAAGTTCAAAAGAACAGCATTTTACTGTTCATTGTTTAAATGTTTTATTAAACCCAAAAACAACAACTTTTGAACAGTAGTGTATATATTAATTTGACAACAGTTTTCCAAAAGTGTTTTACTCTTTGTATCACTCTGCTTTTTACTGAAGTTGCATATTGTGCCACTAGTTACAGAATAGTAGGCAAAAATGGCTCTCCAACATGTTTTAGTATTTAGGTTAGCTAAAATAGACTAAATCACTAATACATTTCATAAAAGCCTTTGAAAATTCAAATGAAAGCATTTCTTATGAATATTAGACTTTTCCCTTGCTAAACCCTTATTTCCTCCATGATGTGTCTGAACAGAAAGAAGCCTATTTGTGAAGGAAATACACTTCAAAGAAACTCTCTAGCCCTGAGTTAACTTCCATTTGGAGGAGAAGTAGTAAAGCCTGGAGTCCGGAGGCTAGGATGGAGGGGTCTTGGTGTGGGCAACGATCATAAAATGGCTACATTTCATTCTACACAATTAAGCACCGGCATTTAGCCCAGGCTGGCCGAGGGAGCAGTAAAATCTGAAAAATGACTTACCTCCCATGTTATCACTAATTCTGATTTGGTACCTCCTCCGCCTCCGACATCAGTGGGAGCCGTGTCAGGCACTGCAGGCAAAAACCCAAAGAAGAGATTAAAATGCTGCCGGCAGAGCTCTGATTGGGATTTTTCATTGTATGTTTGAGCATCAAAAGTGTATTTAAATTTTCATCACAAAAAGGCTCTAAACTATCCCTTTCACAGAGGTTCTACCTTCTTTAAACAATCCCTCAGAAATTTGTGAATAAAAGAATGCGTTTTTGGAATAGGTTTGAGTGTTGCATGTGGAATAAAAGTGATGGATGTGACAGATGACGGGAGAATTGAGGATGTTCGGTCTGCTCCAGTGCTTTCAATTTCAGTGCCTGTCTGGAATAGGTCTGTCTCACACTAGCATACTCACTAGCATCTTCTGTTCTGATCTTGGTAGACGGGGGACTGGGCTCTCCCATCCCGACACTGTTACTGGCCAGGACTCTGAACTCATATTCCACCCAAGCGTTCAAACCCACCACGGTTGCAGTCAGAGTGTTTCCATTGATCACCTCAGGAACTGAGCATAAGAAGAACAGTAAAATACAATAGCAACTAACTGAAATAAAATAGTTAAAGCACTAAAAGTTTACACACTAAAATGACAAAAATTTACTTCTATATAAAATTCTAAACTAATAAAATGACAAAACATAAAATTCTTAATGTAAAAAAATTATCATTTAAAAGAAATTAAAATATTATATATAGTAATTAAATTGACATAAAACTAATATAAACTAAATAAAATTAAAAACTAATAAAAATGACATAATCATATATATAATTAAAATATTATATAGTAATTAAAATGAAATCTAATAAATGTCAATAACAAAAAAAAAATATATATATATATATATATAAATCTGTTGGCCTCCCATGCGCTGACACACAATGGCATATGTCTATGATGGGTGATGATGTACCTGTGTCGACAGCTTGCCAGCCGACAGTAAAAGGAGTCCTGGCTTGGATGACATCTCCAGTAATGGGACTTTATATATATATTGTAATTAAAATGATCATAAATGATCATACTCATAAAATAGCAAACATTTAAAATTTGGTTTCAACATAAATATTAAATAACCCAACTGTTTTTAGCAGCTTTTAAATTCTGAAAATAAAATGTCTATATATATATATTAAGAGCCAATTAAAGACATCCTCTATGATAAACAGCTCCTCTCCAAACACCTGGGACAGAACCGTGATGCATAATGGCCATGAATACCAATGTGACTCACAAAAACAGCAGCGAAGACGAGGCTCCATAAAACATCCCAAGTGACACATTTAGCACTCTCTGAACTCTTACTACATTAGCAGTGCCCTTTCATTGAAATACACACCTCGCAAGAAGGTCTTCACTGTGGAAGACGGTTGTGTGTATATATATATATACATAACAATGGGCGCAGACGGCAAATATTGTGCATGTGGACATATAAACCGAAAACAATTTGTTCCTACCTTTAACAACCAATATCACGTCAGCAGACAAACTCTCGACGTCTGTATCGATGAGACAAACGTACTTCCCACCGTGATTAAGCTGGATGTTTCTAATCATAAGATCACCGGAAAAGCTCTGTAAGAAAAGTGAAAATTAAAATTAAATTACAAATCTTAATAATTAATAATAATTTCTGTTGCTACAGCACAAGGCACCAAATCCACTCTACTGATGATCAGTAGTTTCTGAAAGTGTGATGCATTATCATTCATAACATACTGTATTTCATGAGTCAAAACATAACCTCAAGGCATGCGCTGTATTTTTTGGCTGGTGCCATGAAATTCTGGCACTATTTCAAAAAAATGAGAGAACAGGTACTAAAAACCAAACAGAATTCAGAGGCTGATTCAGAGACTGAATGATTTTTTATTCCATGCAATTTTATTCCATTGATTTTAAAGGCCATGCAAATCCATTTTTGCATCTTTCTGTGTAATACTTCATAGTGCAATTTAATTACTTCAATTATTTTATATTCCACAATAAAGGTAAATCAAGCATAAAAAAAAAGTTAAAATTGGAGTTAGAATGATCAAACAAACAAACAAAAACTGCACTCAAGTGATACTGCCGAATTTTTAAAATGTATTCTCATATATAAAAGTCAGATTTACAAATCAGAATTGTAAGTCTCATATTCGGTGATATTTTATTTTATTTTTTATTATTTTTACTGTTCACTCCAGGGTTATTATAGTTAACTAAACCTAAAACTAAAATAAAAACCATTGAAGAAATATGTTACTTGAAACGAACTATACTAAAATTAAACTATGACTATAAATTCTACTACTAACTAAAATTATATATATATATATATATATATATATATATAAACCTTTTTATTTCATCTAGTTACCAAGGCAGCATTTCTCATTTTTATATAGTTTAACATGATGTACTAAAACAACTAAAACTGAAATAAAAATGAATAAAAAAAACCATATAAACATATATTAAAATCTACTAAAAATGACAAAAACACAAAAAATCAGGAACAATTTAAAATTAAATCTAAAAAAAGAAGGATTCAACATATTAATCAAAACTATATAAATATCTCCTATACTCAAATAGCACTAGTTTACATGGTCATCTAAATAAATAAATACATAAACAAAATATCTGCTTCACACAAGAGAAATCAGATTTGGGACACTTGCAACTGCAAGTAGCTTGAGTAACAAAGGGCCTGTTTTCAACAGCAATCTGTGTCTAGTATAGTGTGTTATTATGTAATCATCACCAAAAAATGCAGCTGAGGCAGGCGTGCTAATGTTCCCTCTCATGCTAGCTGCAGATTTCTGCAAACTCAAGACACTCATCCCTCACTTTAAAATGGCTGCTGTGCTCTGAGATACGTGTGGCCCTAAATAAACAGTCTCAGTGACTAGCCTCCGGGATTCACTCAGATCCAGCTCTCTCAGCCACACAGGAGCTCAGTAAAACACACACACTGTGGCTAATTGGCAAGACGATACGAATTATTCCACAATTACATAAGCCAGGACCAGGTAAATGAGCAAAGCACATGCAGAGTGAGAGTTAATATTGTTCCATATAAGCATACAGCACATTAAAATCATAACGAATCTGCATATCTAGTACAGATTTCAAAAACAAGATCTTGTCATATTTTAAACAAAGACACTGCTAAGTATAACACAGCACAATGTGTGAAAGAAGCAAATTACATTTACTTAAACAGAAAACACTTAATGTCCTGTAGTTCTGATTAATTGACATTGACTGTTTCATTTTATCTGATCACTTTCTAAAAATAAATAATTATAAATAATAAAATAAAATAGCATTTATTTATACTACTTTTCCTATTAAAGGATTTAAAAATAAAATAAAATGAAATTACAATGTAGGTTTGCTCACACAGTTGATCTCACTGATTCTCCCTGGCTTTTAATAAAGAATGTCCAGAAGTTCATACAAGCTGAATCCTGTATATCTCATTTAAGTCTCTAGTGGTCTACCAGCCCCAAACCACAGAGCACTTGTAACCCTGCGCACTAGTAGTGCACTGTAGTTACTATGATTTCTCTCTCTGTTTCAATCTGTATGAGAGGATACACTGTAATGGACCAGTCGAAGTGCTAGGTTCGCTACAGGGGGGCAAAAAATTAGGTAAACCACATTAACAAAAACAGACAGACCAGGAAAATGACTTGAAGTTGTCTTCTTTTACTTTGAATAAAAATTGAATTGAATGAAAATATGAAATGAATTGACAATAAAATAAACAATTGGAATAACACCAAGGAAATTCTTTCTTTTTTTTAGAATATTAAATTGAGCTCCTTTGTAGTTATTTGATTTAAATATTTTTATGTACTATATTTGTTCCCTTTAATATTTAACTTCTATTTTTCCTAACCTTTTTCTATTTTTTTCTTTGGAGCTTTGCTTATTTTGTTACTGGTTTGAGTTAGAACCTCTGACCCACAACAAAACAATCAAAAACAATTACAATAAATCACTCAAGGAAAATAAACTAAAATAGTACAACACTCAAGTTCAGTATATGAAAAGTTCTCAGTCCATAGAATAAGTGTGAACGGGGGGAAAAAACGTCCTTTGAATACAAACGATGAATCCAATGCACACAATAGTCTCCTTGTGTAGTGCAACGTTTGTAGTGCAACATGTTCAATAGTGCAAAAATAATCAGTTGGTGTGATAATCAGTGTTGAGGTAATTTGGTGAGAAATACCACTAGGAACGGATGGATTCCACTTGTGATAATGGATAAGGCTCTGATCACTTGATGAGTTGCAGGATTTTTCTTCTAGTTGTCTCTTTCAGGGTTCTCTAGCTGGGTGGCTCGCTATCTCAGGATCACAGTTTAACTCAGTCTCGGAAAAAACCCTGACCAAATCCGGGGGATTTCAACACAATTAACGTTACTCAACCGCATCGAATCTCACGCGGTTTACATTCGCATATCATCCGCTTCAATATCATCGATCATCGCACTTTTAATCTGCGTTGATGACACTCGCAATCTACAAAACGCGTGCTCTCTCTCTGCGATTATGCGTCTCGTATTAGTGACGTCACACACAGCGCGCATCTTATGACAACTGTTTTGCTTTAGTTATTTTAATTATTGAAAAGTTTTCAACACAGCAGAACAACTTTGAATACCCATTATATCAAGCATTTCAGTTTTTTGCTTTATTGAAAATATAATTATTGCAAATTATATTTGTTTTATTTATTATTATTTTTAGTCAGCTCATTTCTGACCTGGGTTACACACTACTGTACTGTAATAGTACATGTAGGTATCTGATGCACTCTAAGCTCTCAAAAAAACAAAAAAAAAGACGAGCACTTATGTTTGACTGTGGTTTCCTCTCCATCAAGTTCAATTCCTATGAATAAAAATGGCTTAAACTCAATCTATATCAAAAAGAGAGCCCATTCAATGGATAGATTCCAAAATTGCAGGATTGGATGAGAGGACTGCAGAGCAGGTGATGTTTAATTATGGTAATGAACCCATCAGAGGCTGTTGAGAAGGATGACATGATCTTTGGGTGCAGAGGAAGTGTGAATCCGTGAAAACCATATCTCATTATAACCCACATCTGCATATGTCAATGTCATTTGTAATTGCCCTTGAGTGAAGCCCCATGTATCAACTTAACGTAGCCACTGCCACATGACAATAAAAGGCAAGGCTTGGCTGTGGGTTTGAGGGGCCTGAATCAAGATCATGAAAATGGGACAAAGCGGTGAAAAAAAAAACTTTATTAGTGTTTATTTTATAATAAATTACATTAATATTTATGTTTTTATTTTTATACTAATTTTATAATTTCATTAATTTGTTAAAAATAAATTACAGAAGCTGAATATACAGTATAATATCATTTAAATAACATTTTCTGCTGAATTAAATTCAAGAAGTTATGAACTGTCCAGCAAATGAACCATGTAGTCCTGTGCTTTTCAAAAAGTACCTTAGCCTGTGCTCAGGTTTCAAATCCTTGAAAGAAAATTAACAAAAGCTGTTTATTATTCTGTTCAAACCCTCAGCCAACCAAAGGCAAATCTAAACCAAAACAGCTAAATGGAATGCGGCACAACACAAAGCGTTTCTCAAGGCAACATTTCAATTCATTGGAGTCCTGTGGCAATAAGGAATTGTCTCCCCTGAGATGTAAAATGTCCTGTGTAACTGGAAGGGTAAAATGGGAACAAGACTCTTAATTGATCTGGCCTGTTTCCCTGGTTCACTCTGTAGAGAGCAGCTGTTTGGTATACATGTTGAATGATTCACATTCAATGTAGGTCAGTGATGGAATGACCCAGAACAAGATGGCAAAATGTATCCCAAGAATCCAATTTCAAACTACAGACATAACGGCAGGGAATTCTCTTTAAGAGAGAGCATTCAAAGCCCCAATGGCTTGCTCCTGTCCAGCACGATGACTAGATTAAAACCCAGTTACAGTACAGTACAGTTACAAGTGCTTGTGTTTGAGATCTATTCAATAAGATGGTCTTTATTACATGCCGGGTCCTTTGGTTTGATTCAAATGATGAGCACAAGTAACTAAAACTAATTCATCTGAAACTCCTACTCAGATAATAAAATTATCTTTGAATTTGTCCAAAAAAATACAACCTGCATTTTATTGTACACAATTATCATGCCAGATTTCTTGTAATTTATTAAAATGACCATATTCTACATTTCTGGAGCATTTATTTATTTATTATGAAAAAAACTGTTATATTTCTTATTGTAATGTAGTCATTCATTTCTGACCTTTATAATTAAACAGACTGCAGACATTTTTGCAGTTTTCATAAATGATTTCTGAAGGTTAGATTATGTCTACACAGTACATCAAACCCTTTTTTCAAAACAGCAAGGAAAATCCTGTTTTCCGAGATATGTTCCCTATAAATGTTTCATGCCTGAAGGTGGTGGTGCGGGATGAGGTTGCAATACAGCCCTAAAACCACAATACTCACCCCTCCCACTCGCTCGAAGTGGTCGGCGTCCTGATGGAAATCAATGGGCTGACCGTTGAAGGCCCAGGAGAAGGCCACGGCCAAGGCTGGATCGGCAGTCACCTGGCAGGGCAGCACGATACTCTCACCCACTGTGATCTCTGTGCTGCTGGGGCCCTGGCTGATCCTTGTGGGCTCTGTTAGTTACAGTGTCAACACAGTCTGTCAGTTTAGCTCTGGGACACATACTGAGGTGAGAAAACCACTTCTGTAGCCAGGCAAATAACAAGACAAATTTTTTTTTTTTTTTTAAATCTAGTGAGCTGCCACCGGAGGAAGCATTTTAAAGCATTATAGGCATGATCCCAACACATGGCTTCATAATTACTCTGCTTTATAATATTTAAATGCTCTGCAGCAAGCTCTAATTAAAGGGATAGTTCACCCAAAAATGAAAATTCTGTCATTAATCGTAGTTCCAAACCTGTAAGACCTTCGTTCATCTTTGGAACACAAATTAAGATATTTTTGATGAAATCTGAGAGCTCTCTGACCCTCCATAGACAGCAAGGCTATTACCATGATCAATGCACAAAAACATAGCAAGGACATCAGTAAAATATTCCATGTGACATCAGGGGTTCAACCGTAATTTTACGAATCTACGAGAATACTACTTGTGCGTAAAGAAAACAATAATAACAACTTATTCAACAATTCTTCTCCCCAAGTTACCATCTTCTGCCATTTTGGAGAGTACCCCAGAAACGTAATCGGTGATGTTTACGTTCAGCATGCGCACTTTGTCTACTGAACGTAAACAACGCTGATTACATTCAGTAGACAGTGCGCGCATGCTGTTATTATTGTTTTCTTTGCGCACAAAAAGTATTCTCGTAGCTTCGTAAAATTACGGTTGAACCCCTGATATGTCACATGGACTATTTTACCGATGTCCTTGCTACGTTTCTGTGTGTTGATCGTGGTAATATCATTGCTGTCTATGGAGGGTCAGAGAGCTCTCAGATTCCATCAAGAATATCTTAATTTGTGTTTCGAAGATGAACAAAGGTCTTACGGCTTTGGAAAGACATGAGGGTGAGTAATTAATGACAGAATTTTTATTTTTGGGTGAACTAACCCTTTAAATATACTAACGGTCATATAAACTACAAAAATGACAAAGTTGTTCTGGCAGCCAAATAAACTGAAAATGCTGAATACAGTATAAACGCAGGTCTTTGGGCATGTCAAGGCATTATATAATGAAATCATTTTGGAGCTTTAGGGAAGACAACAAAATAAATCATCATTCGTCTATCTCTCATTCGGAGCTGTGATGTCTGTCAATTACAGCTCGATTTCTCATTCGCGCTATAGCAATGAATAGGAATGAATCTGGGTTCAGTGGAGGGTGGACGATCCAGTGATGTCACCATACTGTATAAATCTGAGCCTCTCCTCACAGAAAAGACTGAGCGCTCAGAGAGTGAAGAAGCACTGTTTGTAAAGAGATTCATCTTCAGTTAGGAAGTGACCCCTGATCGGTACTCATGGAGGTCAAAACTATCTTGTTTTCCATTATACTTTGGGTGAACTAACACTTTAAGACAAAAATCTATTAGAAATACGGTTAGAAATATACTTGGTATAGAATATAGAATATATACATTTATACTATGGCGCTGTTGAATGCTTGAATCTGATTGGCTGACGAACGTTCTGAGGTGTGCAATTATTTTCAGGGAAACGCACGGCATACAGCACACAGGAATTACTGCAATCACACATGCTCGCACACGCACACTATGGTCACGCAGTTTGCACAAAAAGGTGTTGTCAGCGCTGCCCTGACGATTTTATCAGTTAGCCTATATAGTGTAGCAACTTAAAGGCTACACATGACATTTCTCACTAGCGAGGTAATAACAGCGCCGTTTAAAGGTACAGAGGTAGCCTAATTCACACAAGCTCTCTCTCTCTCTCTTTCTTTCTCTTTCTCTGTGTGTCTCTGTCTCTCTCGCTCTCTTTCTAATAACTTCATTAATAACTGCATTAGAATGCTATCAACGGCTCAAGCCTCCATTACTAGCTTTAAAATGACGTTTTGGAACTTGCAAAAGAGGCGTTGGATGAGATGTGGAAGAAATAATCCTACTCACAATAGCGATTTAAGTACAAAAACCGGACGAATCCCTTTAAATATATCATCTGATCGATGTCTTGAGGTGTGGTAACCGTAGTATAAGCGGAATAATTGACTCCGGGCCATTGAATTATTAGAAAAATAATGCACACCCGAGGTGTAACGGCCATGACGCGACCTCGGGTGTGCATTATTTTTCGAATAATTCCATGGCCCGTCGTCAATTATTCCTTACATACTTAACAAAATAACGAAATTTAACAATAAACTATAGTTCAAAATAATTAAAATCCACCCTTTTAACACAAGATTCTACACAAATAATGAACTAAAAATGTATTTATAATACAAAGATGAGCCACATTTGGACAAGAAACTGAGAGGGGAAAAATGTTCTAATCTAAAAGTTGTAAATCAACAACATCAACAAAACAAACAAACAAAAAAACAGAAAATCCAGCTTGAAAATTTATTTACAGGAAAAAAGGAAAATTTTTTTCTGAAAAATTCTTAATAAATTGACTATTTAGAAATGTTTACATGCTGGCACCAATGCTTTTCAGAAATGTTTTAGAAATGAATTAAAATACGTTTTTGTGTTAAAACCAAACTTTTTTTAAATAATTGTAGCAATATATTACTTACATTTCTGTTGTCCTGATGAGCAGTAGGCTGTGGGTTAGCGATATTACCACATTCTACGGTGGTTTATTGCTGTAATAAATAATCTTAATTTCTAGGTACTACACTTACTATACTTTCCATATGGGGGCTATTAATTTGAAAAGAACATAAAGTGGATTTTAATAAGAGCCAAATGAACTGGCAGCACGTCTTCTGTGATCAGAATACAGTTGACTGAAGACACTTTGTGAGGGAAAGGTCATTTTAATTAAATTACATTAAGAGGGTCAACTGCTGGTGCATGACAAAAACATAATGAGAGAAAAATACACGGAAGGAAAAGAAAGAGAAACCCTATAAAAGACGTATGGGCTCACACAGAGGCCTCAGTGGTATAAAGCTAATGAGTTTCTTCTGATTTACCATGAAAATACTGCTGATTAAACCCTATATAATGAAGAATAAAAGTGAGGAATAACATTCATCCTATAGCTTAATGAGGAGATAACAATCCAAACGGATAATGGCCACAGCAATTACGGATGACCTTAACAATGAGTAATTAGTGAAACATGGACTGGGGTGTGTGGAAGACTGAAGCAAGAGGGCACATGAACTACACAGAACACTAGAGAAGAGAATGTTATACCTTCCACAACATAGAAGGCTCTCTTAAAGTGACAGTTCACCCAAAAAAGAAAATTCTGCCATTTACTCAATTTCATTTTGTTCCAAATCCGCATGACTTTCTTACTTGAATCACAAAAGGAGAATTTTTTTCATGCAATTACAATAAACAAGAAATAGCCACAAAAGCATTATCAGGGCTCGACAATAAGAATTGCCTTATGGACCGGGCATGTACTGTATGTAAAACAACACTGCAGTGTTATTTTACATTTGATTATTCAATTTCTGTACCTGAATACTTCTGTTAGACCTTCCTGAAAATGTAAAGCTCTTTTTATTACATTTCTATCATTGTTCTATTGTACTTATTTGTGCCATTGCTTGTAATCTGTTAATTTGTTCTTATTTTGTTGCTGACTGTTCACTTGTCTTCAGTAATGTTTATAGCTTATATTAGCTAAGCTAGTAGTATTTGCTGTATTAGTGAAAGTGGAATTTAGAATTGTGACATTTCACTGGTATCTAAACTTTTGGTGACTTACTGATTCGAATACAACGTTACATGGGCCAATACATGGGCAATACATTATTTTATTTCATTTTATTGTGTTGTACTCTATTCTATTATATTCTATTCTATTGTGGTGGGGCCACATTAAATAAATAAATAAATAAATAATACAAAAAAAATGTTGCTACTGGCCTGAAAAAATCCTTAGCGTTAAGCTCTGATTATAAAAGTTTTATTAAGGTAGCCTACAGTATATGACTTGGGAATCGAACACATAACTTTAGTGTTGCTAGTGCCATGCTCTACTGGAAATCTACAGGAACAATTCACTGAAGTATCTATGTTTGATCTGTGAGTGGATGCGATTTTATAATAAATTGTAATAAATAAATAAGTTTATGTGGTTTACAAACTGAATAATTCATTCACAAATCGGAATGACTTCTCAAGTTCAACTTAATGTCCAATTCCAATTCACTGGGATAGTGAGCAAAGACATACAGACTTAATATACAGCATGATTCATATTAACTACTTAAATGTGGTTGTTTTGTGTCCTTTTCTGAAGCTTTAAATCTCCAGTCAGCATTCACAGTAATAGCATTAACAATAATGTACAGTATGTTCTTCATATTTTCTTATTTTGTGTTCCACAGAAGAAGAAAAAATCATGAGTTTGGAACGACTTGAGGATGAGTAAAAAAAAGATGACAGAATAAAATTTTTTGGATTAACTATTCCTTAAATAGGAGTTTGAAAAGATGTCTTAAAACTTTTAGACATAGAGACTTGATAACAAAAGCCATTTGTCTTGAAATAGTGTAGCGCCATTGTGTAGGACTTCTCAGTGTGCTTGATTATATAAAACAAAACTTACACTTTGTGATTTTTTGACTTGAAAGGCTGACAGCAGTGACAACAGAAACTTAGAAGAATGGCGCTGTCAGTTGGCTAATACATTTCTTGAAACAGCTGAAGCAATGCATCATGATATGTGCCAGATGTGGCATTTCATTCAAAGCTAATCATAGTTAAACCATCAAGAATACAGTATCTGAGTCAACAATAAGAGTGGACCGAACTGTGCATTGTCTGCACAGATAAAAATAAATAAAGCTGTTATTCATCCAAAACTACTTTAGGTCCTAAAGCTAAACGATTATCAAAAGAATCCAAGACTATTTCGAGAGAGATGAATCAGCTTTTTATTTTTTTACAACAAAGAAATTGTTTGGATAATAAAAAAATGCTTCTTTTGTCTGTCTTTTTGCTATTTTTTATAGTAATAGAGAAAAGAAAGGAGCTGTGAATAATGGGGCAAGAGAAAGAGTGGAGAAACCAGATCTAGAAAATGTTGCAAGCCGAATTCGAACCTCAATATGCTCTAAACCACTAACGTTGATCTGAAAAACACAGTAACTTACCTGTGATTATCAATCTTCCTGTTGTGCTAGCTGTGCCAAACTGATTTTTAGCGATGCATGTGTAAGTACCTCCATCTCGCTTAGTTACGTTGGCAATCTTAAGAGTACCATTTGGGAAGAGAGAAATCCTAAAGGTAATGGATAATTTATTAGTATCACAAAGACTCACATGGCTTCAATGTGATAAAATATAAATTCCAAAGCTAAATACCTTTCGCTTCTTTGCAGTATCTCGGTCCCTCTTTTCCACAGGCTAATGGCTCTGGGCGAAGCATGTGGCCTGCAATCTAGGCTAACGTCACTACCCGAGCGAGCCTTAAGCATTCGGCTCAAAGGATTCTGGGAGAAGCTGGGAGCAGAGGCTGTAGGAGACAGAGAGATTTGGTCCTCAGACTCACACTTAAAGCCTCAATGGAATCTGTGATGAACAGCAATTGACGTTCAAACAGCCTCTGGCAAAAAAAAAGAAGAAAGCCTTTTATAAAAGTCTAAAGGACTTAACAAATAGAGCTGTCCGCTTCCACTGGCTTCTTCCAGGCCATTTGTCTTAAACTAAAACTTACATTTTACTGTGCCACTTCAATAGACACCATTTATTTGAAATTGGCCTCGTACGCACAATACTGACCAATGTGTCGTGATTAAAATGAATAAATTTCAGCATGCACAGACATAATTTCACAATCAATACTGGAGAAATATGAGAGTTACAATGGAGCACTCAATCAGATGGATGTTTTCAGTGCTGCCTTGTAATTTGAGCCTGGGCTGTGACTACACAATAAAGTTGTAGCATTCAAATGAAGGATGGAAAGCAGGCAGTGAAAACACAGAGGTCGTACCAAGCACCATCAGTTCGGCGCTGGAATAAATGATGCCGTGCTTGTTCTCTGCCACACACTGATACATCCCGCCATCTGAGAGGTTTAGCGAGGAGATGGAGAGAGCGCCGTTCTCTATTTGCACTCGGCCCTGTAGACATAAAAAAAAACAACAAAGTAAAATGTTTGCTATGCGGTTGCTAGGGCATTGCTGGGCTGCTTGATTACATGGTTGCTTACTGGCCCAAGTCAATAGAGACCAGCGCCACATTTCTATGATATTCTGGTTGCTAGATATGGATTGGATCCTTCATTCAATTAACTAAAACTAAAACTATAAAAAAGATGGTTACTTGAAATAAAATAAATGTTAATTAAAAATTTTTTTTTTATAAAAAGTTAAACTTAAGCCCTATTCGGATAGGACTAGTTTTACTAACATGCACATTTTTGATATGTTTTTAATTGCACTCAATTACATAATGTTTTAATTACATATGTACCTTTACGAAAATTAAACGTGGTTTTACTACAAATACATTTAAAAAAATAAAATAGTTAAACTAAAGTAACCACAAATTAACCATGGTTTTGCTATACTAGCCATAGCTTAACCATGGTATTTGTTGTAAAACTTTGGTTATACTAATGGTAATCAATCCAAATGATACGCAATGCATGCATGTATACATGACACGTAATCTCTGCAATGCAATGTACAAAACAGACCCTCCAACCTCTGTAATAAACACAGAGATGTTAGTCCCATCTGAATTGGTACATGAAAATCACAGACGTCGGGTGATAAGAATCTAAACTCAAACGTAGTTTAGAAAAATAGTCCCGTCCAAATAGGACTTCATTTTATTTCATTTTAGCTAGTTGCCTCAGAAAGGTTTAAGTTTTACTTTAATTTAAGCTGATGTACTAAAATGATTGTAACTAAAAACAAATGCATAAAAACAAAAAACAAAAAACAAAAAAACAAAAATAGACAAAACACACAACAAGATTACTACAACTTTAACAAAAATTAAAATGAAAAAAGAAAAAAATCAATAAAAACTGTAATAGTATCTCAATGATACTAAAATAAATAACATTGCTTCAATGTAAGACTATGGGATTTCTTTGCCCATTTTATCATCTGCCAGGCAAAAATGTAATTCTGAACTATTTTGCCTAAATAAATTCAAAATAAAACATTTAAAACTAAAATCAATCATTTAAAAGCTGCACATGCATTTAGCCATTACATCTTTATAATGTACAGTATGAAAATTGATATTTTAAGATTTGTTAACAAATACATCTAACAAAGTTATTCAATTGTGGTTTTAAAAGATGAACTTTAAGTGAGCGGAAGTTAACGTCAAAAGTAATCTAAATGTTGAAAAAATATGGAAACTGAAAATATGGAAATATCAGCCAATGTATATCCAATAACAACCCATAAAAAACTCCAGAATTGGCTGATAAACAATTTATTGTGCACTCCTACAATTTTCTCACCATGAATGATGGCTTTTTTTTTTTTTACAACACGGCTGCACTCTAACACTGAAAGTATGTAGAGTTGAATATCTAAGGATGGGTTAAGAGAGGGTGGAGGAGGTTATAAAAGAGAATAAAGAAAAATGCTGACCCTCTGCTCCAATGAACAGAAAAGAAATGTTGAACATAGCAGTGAAATACTAATGGCCAATTCATTTGGCATGGGCGCCCAGTCGGAAAAGTATGTGAGACAGGTAGGGAGGTGTTGAGCTGATGGTCCTGCTAAAGGAATAGCAGACATTTAAGCCTATCGGCTGTTCTTAAGAGCTGAACTCAGCACAAAGAGTCACAAGGAGAGATTGACGTGATGTGTGATGGAGGGGTGGGGAGGAGGTACGGGTCACTCTCGGCTTGAATGCAGGTCACATCTAATGGAGTCTTTCTGCTGCCTTATAACTGCTGATGTTTGTTGATGGGAGTCTCTACTTAAACAGCTGTTGGCTTCTTTTTTGCCTTGCTTTAATGTCAGCAATGAGAATTTATGTTTGCATTGACCGTGAACTAAAGTAAGTGGAGATAAAGCTTTCAGTCTCATTAGGGGCCTTTCAAAAACCGCAAAGTACCTCTGATATAAGAGTTTCTCCATTCTTCAGCCAGCTGTATGAAGGTTTTGGTTTCCCATTGGCTTTGCACTCCCAAAACAGATTCTCCTCAATGGACAATGATGTGTCCATCATCGTCTGCAGCCAATGAGGTGTGGCTATGGAAAGAGAGCATATTAATAAATAAAAAAAATGAATATAGGATTCGATGATGGACAGATACAAGAACACACCTAAATGAAATGTTACTTGCAAATTAAGACAAGCCATATTACCCAAGGCTGATGAATTCAAAGGCCTTGATGACAGAAACAATTAAAGTAAAAGTTCACCCAATAATGAAAAATCTGTCATCGTTTTCTCACCCTAAGGGTCATTTCAAACCCGTATGACTTTCGTCTGTGCAAAAATAATCGAGATGCTAGGCTCTTCCTGGTTGCTCTTTTTACAGTAAAAGTAAAAAACTAAATATACCCTAATTTCAAACGTTTAGGGTGTGTAATATTTTATAATGTTTTTGAAAGAAGTCTCTTTATTATTTGAAGAAAGATACAATAAAAACAGCAATATTGCAAAATATTATTACAATTGAACATAACTGTGTTCTATTTGATTATATTTTAAAATTATTTATTTCTGTAATGGCAAAGCTGAAATTTCAGCAGCCATTACTCCAGTCTTCAATGTCACATGATCCTTTAGCAATAATTCTAAAATGCTGATTTGGTGCTAAAGTATCATTCATTCTTGTTATTATCACCAGTGTGTTTCAACAATTATGCTGCTTAATATATATTTTTTGGAAACCATGAAACTTTTCTTTCTGGATTCTTTGATGAATGAAAGGTCAAAACATCATATCTGAAATAATTATTTTTGTAGATTTTGTTTATGCTCTTCCCCATAAAAAAAATAAAAATAAAACCTTGCTAAATAAAAGTATTAATTTCTTACACAAACACACACACACACACACACACACACACACACACACACACACACACACACACACAATGAAGATTTTTAAACAGTAGTGCATATAATTTATGTACATATAAAAATATATTTTTTTTAGGCATAATTAAATAAATCAGATTCACAAGGCAAATGATGACAAATGATGACAAAAACAGTGTGCATGTGTGTGTGTGTATATATATATATATATATATATGTATATGTGTGTGTGTGTGT